TGAATACAACCCCAGCCTCTGTATTGCTGCAACAATAGCTAAGAAATATTTTCAAAATATTGTATTTGATCTAAAATGCTGAACATGCACAGAGCTGAGGCCATGACACCAAGTGAAGAGAATGACCAGGAAAAGCCTTTCAGAGATCAAGTTTATATACCCCAGATGAGATCACAGGGACATTGTCACTGTGCCCACTAACAGGTTGTTAAATGACAACTGTACTTGGACATTTTAGCTTTTGCCATCGAGCCTTGCAGGTTTTCTTCAGCACCGGCTGACTTGTTACTCTTAGTAATTACATTTATTGAAAACTAAATACACCTACAACTACTATTTCTGTGGAGAATCCTAATTTTGGCCTGCCCATAGAAGTCTGGGATTTGCTATTCAATATCATGGTTTAGTAGAACACTTGGATTTGTGTTTCCATCAACCTGCCCTGAGGGAGCAGGAACTGTTAAAAGTATTTAACTGTTAAGAGGGAACTGTTAAACATATTTAACAGGGTTACAATAAAACATAAGGTTTCAATACTTTTCTCTCCTTTTAAAATACAAACCTATGTGTAAAGCTGCCCTTAGCAGGACGACCGCTGCTAGGGAAGGGGACACTTACGGTTTTCTTTCACTAAACATTTCAGTAATTCATTCTTAAAATTTAAAAGGCAAAGCCAGAGACTCGTCTTTACTTCTGCTCTGTCAGTTAAGTCTCTGCTCTATAACTCTACTTGCCCAACGTGTGTTATCACTCTAAACCAGGACTAGAACCTGTGTTTCCATATTGGGTGTTTTTTGATGTGCAGAAACAGTGCATGATTTGAAAAGGATAAAACCAGAGTGTAGAAGACACTTGTTTATGCAAAAAAATGGACTTATTTTGCCAAAACTGTGTTCTTCAGTGAGATTAACTCCGCAATTGCTCTAGATTGTCACACACATTCCTCAGAAGGTGCCACGTGCCAGGGAAGCTCATTTTTTGATCTCTCAAATGAAAACTGCTTTTGTATGAGCCCCCCCATTATAGTCACATTTACCTCTGCTGACAGCTCTTCACCTGCCACTGACACTTGACTAACATGGCAAAGGTTCTGCTCAGTAAAAATAAAATCTCATTCTTCAAAGATGCATTATCTTCGTGCAATTCTTGTCTGACACACAGTGATTAATGACAGTGGTGTGAGGCTCATCTATCCTTCAGGCTTTCCTTCAGGGGCAATTGAGGGAAAAATAAATCCCAGGCTCTGGGTAGCAGTTGTCAGTGAGCTCCTCTTTGCTGTGTCGTGCTGGGTACACAGGGACATATAGCCACACGTCCCGATGCATCGTGGTGATGTGGGGGGATGTAGGATGCGTTGCCTGAAGGTTGAATTCTGCAAGTCCCAAGCTCACAGAACATCTTCATGCTGTGAAGCCACATCTCCCACTTCAATTCTAACTTCTAGAACTACACTGACACTTCACATCCCCAGCACTTCATGTGCGGTTCACAATCCTGGTTTTACCAGTTCAGCTATGGACTGGAATCTTCCTCTTCTCCCAGTTTGAAAAAAAATAATAAAAACTTACTTTCAGTAAGATATTCAATCTTAATGATTTGAGTTCTTATAAATGGCAAAAATTTCGTGTTTTTGTGGGAAAATATTGCAAGGAAAGTTTTATCTGTTAAAAGCTGCAATTAAAAGGTCTATATTGAGATTGAGAATGAGCTTGAATCACTGCACTCAGGGCCCAGCTTTATCCAGGGCTCCTCCTAACTCCTTACTTTAGACTTAACTGTGTGGTTTAGGGAGAAGAAATTCTGACAGTTTATTACTAGGTTGGCCTTAGTGAACCATTGCACCAACAGTTGTGAGACACAGGCACAGAACAGGGACACTTTTTACCCAACCAGTGCCAGTGCTGTGCTATCGACATGTTGACTTCATTATTTGAACAGCAGTTTCATCCATGGCACTGGACAATTCCCTCTGACCTGCATGTGTGTTCCCTGAGTTTAAATGGGAAGCTGACAGCTTGTTCCTCTTCTAGGATTTGTCACTGTTATCATCTAAACCTTTCAGAGCATGGACTTTACCAGCTTGCCTCAGCTCCCAACAACCATTGAGCTTCTCAGTCCCACATTTTTTAAATATAAAGGTTTATTTTAACAATCAGAAAAAACCTATTAATTCCTCTGCTACCGCAGAGATGAGAAGTTTTCCAATATCAACCACTGCTACTGTAGAAGAGCTTTTCGTATAGACAAGAGGGATTTATTACACTGCCCATATTTGGATCTTAGATACTCACAGACCAGCTTTTGGAAATGAAATCACTGGTTGATTCCTCAAACCTGACAAAAATCCCAACTTCTCCACTGCAGTGTCACCAGGATCGTTAATTCCCACTGCCTTGGTGGGAGGAGCAGGGCTCTGTGACAGGAAGAAGAGTTTGGCTGACACCAAGACTTACCTGGGCCAGTACAACAGCCTGAGCTCAGCTGTCAGAGCTTTGCTAACCTTGAAAGGAGATTTTAATTCATTCTTATGCCTTAATGCAGGAATTTACCACTTCCACCATATACTCCCTTGTCTTGCTTATCTAAAATAGAGAGTACTCTGGCTCCAATTCGTTAAAATCACTTTTACTATTAAACAGAGTTAAAATGAGGCTCCAGTACCTAACTGGAGCATAGCCAAGGTGGTCGGCACGCTGCAGAGAAAGCCCAGTGTCATCCTTCACTCAAACAGTGATAGCTGTGGCAGCTGAAATGGAGCGTGAGGAGCAATTTATATGGCCAGGTTGGCTTTTTTGAGCCTGTGATTTATTTCTGATTAGAATCCCTTGTTTTTCAAGTGGTTTTGATGTCTGAAATGATTTGTCTGATCATTTTCTCAGCTTATCCCCCACCCAGTCTGTGAACTGGGCATTTGTTGCCCTGGAGCTTTGCAGATAATGAACATGTCAGAGTGTCACTCGGTTGGGTGAGCCTGACTGTGAGCATGTGCTATCCTGAGAAAACCATTACAATCCTGAATTTGAACCTACTGCTTTTGTGTTTGTTTACAGGGTGATACTTCAGCAATATTCCTGTCTGCAGAAACACATCAGCAGATCTGGAAATGCACTGCAAAATCAGACATCTCAATACAGCCAATCAACTTAAAAAAGTACACAGATGTTTGCTGTAAAATACTGGCATTAATAAACAGCAGCCACTAATTCTGCTACTTTGCTGGGGGGCTCTGCCCAGCAGTAATTCTGGTACTCTGCTGTGAGGCTCTGCCCAGCACTGTGCCGACGTCTGCCCAAAAATAGACATTAGGGGCATGCATTCCATACATGAGGAACTGCGTCCATAAAAACACCTGAAACTGGAAATTCTATTTGATAGCACATACTCATTTGAAAGAAATTAATAAAAATACAGAACACTTTACCTAAAAACATGCTTCAATTCCTCCAGCTCCTTCTCCTTGATCTGCAGATCGTTCTCCAGCCTCTCCATGACTGTGGTGTAGGACTCACTGACTTTCTTCTTCCATTCATCTACAACAAAACCTCCTGACTGATAAAACATTTCCGAACACACAAGACCCTGGAACTCAAATCATAATGTCCCAGTAACCAAAACATCTGATTTTTAAACATCCAGTTGTACAGTTCGATATGTATTTCTACAAAAGTGTAAAATATTACAGCCATTAAATTGTTCTGGCAGCAGCCAATGTAGACACACACAGATTTCAGAGACAGCTCATATGTGTGAATCCTTACCAGAAATGTTTTAATATTAAATCATATTTCAGAGAAAACTTAAAGCTCAGGTTGCATTTGTTAGCTCTTATTTCCTGTATAGACACAGCAGAAAAAGGCTGGCAACGTAAATGTTTTTCTAATGAAGTACAAGTTAAATCAACACAATAATATAAGTTAATATGACCGTATTCAATTTCCCAAAGAAATTCAGTTTAGTAGCTTTTTGCCTCCTTTCACAGCCTGTATCTGGGTTACATCAAGAACAATACCTGAGTCTTGGACTCAAAAGCAAACCAGCAATGAGTTATGTCCTGAAATACCATGTGCTTTGCCGAGGATGGATGGCACATTGCCTGTAAAAAAGCAACGTTAGTTACCCGTGCAAGTCTGGGTTGGTCTAGATTTATAATTTCCCATTTGTCCAATATATCTTCTTTGTTTCAGAAAAGTTCTCGCAGTAATATGATACCTGAGTCTTGGACTCAAAAGCAAACCAGCAATGAGTTATGTCCTGAAATACCATGTGCTTTGCCGAGGATGGATGGCACATTGCCTGTAAAAAAGCAACGTTAGTTACCCGTGCAAGTCTGGGTTGGTCTAGATTTATAATTTCCCATTTGTCCAATATATCTTCTTTGTTTCAGAAAAGTTCTCGCAGTAATATGATTCCCTGCTCCTGTGACAGTTTTTTTTTTTGAAAAATACTTGTGATAGTCCCTGGCTAAAAATAAACCCTGTACCAAGAGGAATGTCATGCAACAATGGCACAGAGCGACACAGCCTGTGCTGTCCATTGGACTGAAATAATAGAAACACCTACTCAGATTGCTCAAAAGTCTCCTGTCCTCACAGAAGCACTTGTCTTCATCTGTGGAACAATGAAAACTGGGCAGGGAAGTGGTAATTTTGCAGCTTGCTGCTGGTGCTCTAGAGAAAAGGGAATGTAAGCAGCTGGATCCCAAGTGTGCTCTGAGGATCCTCAAGGAGTGCTGGGGGTCCCCAGCTCACAGAGGTCAGGGACAATCTCAACTCACAACATATTCTGACACAGGAGGTGATGTTGGAGCATCTGGGTGTGGCACCTAGGAAGTGCAGTATATAGTGCAAAGTGCAATGCAAATATGCACACATACATATTTATATATTTTAATAATGATATATTTATATATTTAAAGTGTGTTGATTGACCTTGGCAGCTATTCTGTGTTCAAGTTCTCAGTTTCTCAGTTAAGCATTTCATGCAAGTATTTGCTTGAAATGCATGAAATGCATTTCCATTTCATGTTAATGGAACATACATCTCTAAAACCTCCTGCATGCTGCATCCCACTGTAAGAACCTCAGTGCTGTGACAGCTCCTGGCAGCACCAGCTCATCCCTTTACTTATACGGATCTACACATGAGACTAAGGATCTGTTTCAGAAGATTTTCAACTGCTGTGACAATGAGCCCTGTGATATTCCACCAAATATTTGCAGAAAGGCACCAGTCCAGCAAGTGATCCCCACACCCAGGTGCCAAACAACTGGGAGAGGTGGAGATACTCTCCCAGGTGAAGTCCCCTCTCCCAGGTGTCCCCATTCCCAGGGTGTACCCTCTCCTGAAGAACAGGACTTTCCTTCCATGAAGACTGTCACAGGAACACGCTGTCCAGCTGTCACAGGAACATGCACAGGACAACCCCCCGAGCCCAAGAAATGCCCTGTTCTCTCTGCACAGAAAATGCAGTTTAGTGCAACAGCTTTATAAAGTAAGAGCATGAAATTTCCATGAAGAGACAGAGATGATTTGCCTTACAACAAGTAAATATCTTGCGTAGTACTTGCATTCTAGTACCACCTACTTTATGAAAGTATACCAAAAAGAAGTCATCAGTTTCCTTCCCATATTTTTCTTCACTCTTTGCAAACCTTTGTGTGGGTGAAGATTCATCCCTGGAGACACTCGGGGCAGACCCTTGTAATAGCAGCTCCACTCGCCCCGACCACAGCCCTCAGGTGAGTTCCTGGAGCATTCACATCCTCAGCTGTGTGAAGCAGCTGCAGAACGATTGAAACTAGGGTGGAAAAAAGACAAGAATGAGTAATAATTGCAGAGCCTGTTTGCAAACAGATAAACTATGCTGACAGCTCCGTGGGGTCAGTGTGAAGGAACATCTGTACACGTAGCACTGAAACATCATGAGCAGTGTTTGTATGCAAATTCTTCAGGTGTGATGTTTACAGAATACTGAGATACAAATTCCTTTGATTAATTTTTTAGAAGTTTTGTCGCAGTTTCATGTTTGGAACGTGCAGCTGTCACAGCCAATCGTACAGCAGAAATGGGTAATAATTCTCTTCTTGTTTCTGGTTTTAAATGTCCTTCCCAGGGAGGCTTTACAGGAGTAAGTCTTTTAAAATGATCTTTATGTTCTAATTAATTAGAACTGTCCATATCTATCATTTACTTGGAGAGGTGTACATGGCTCCTGTAAATTTCAATGCCATTCTGGTGACATTCAGATGCAGCACAGGAAATGAAAAGGGCATTAGAAGAAAATACATATTTATGAGAAGAAAGCACAGAAACTCTGCAGTCTTGTAATGGAGCAGATGCTTGCATTGGCTCCTCCGTGGCAGCAGATGAACAGAGTGTAGAGCAGAACAGCACTGCTATTTTTGCTCTCACACCACCACAGAGGCTTTTGCACAGGCACTTATGTTCCACATGTGCAGAAAGCAGAAAATGAAGCTCTTGCATCAGAGATTTAGGAACAAGAAGAGGCTGGAACTGCTGAGCTCGAGCACAAACACGACAAGTCATGAACACGGCTCTGCAGATCCAGCTGATCCTGGGAGCTTACTTCCTTTTGTCAGCTCCCCAAGTCCTGCTGGCACAGATTCCTCTCAGCTGTTCACTTTTATTTCAGCTGCCTTCCCCTGTGCTATTTTGTAAGTGCCCAGTTTCTCAGATTTCAGGTTCTTGCCCCAAAGGTCAGTGCAACACAGACAATGTGGCTCAGATTCTGCTCACCACAGCATGCCCAAAGCATTCGGGAAAATCATAGTGACAATGTTAATTATGAGCCCTATTATTGCACTACACAGCAAAACTAATTAAATAAAGGTGACATGAATAAAATCATTAAACACTCATCTTGGCTTCATTTGAGACTGTACCAGCCTGAGTTTCACTTTGGGATGGATGGAACCAGGTGGTGATCTAGAGGACGTATGACCACTGCATCCACCTGGGACACCCACGAGACTTAACCAAAATCACAGGTTTCAGCAGATGACTCTTGTGCTAGAAGGTCCTGCCTGGCTGGCATTGTCAGTGCTGCATCCTTCAGTGCTTAGACTGGAGGAAAATCATGGGCCAGGATGCTGCGATGATCTTGTTTTCAGAACCTGGTACTGGAGACCAGCACCCCCCAAATGACTATGATCTTGCTGTGCAGTTTTACTGGGTGGCCTTGCACAAGTCTCTCAGTTTCCTTGGGCCATGTTTATCCCAGCTGGTTGCATGAGAAAATTGCTGTCATCTACATTAACAGCAGACTGTGGAACACAAAGATTACCTGGAGTTGTAAATGCAATACAAACAAAATATGTACGTGGCTCGAGTACCTCAGACTTTGATTACTATTGTCAGGAAGGGTCTGATCTGCAGGCTTTTTGATTTTAATAATATTTGATCACACTATAACACAGGCCTTGCTGTAAGGACTGCAATTTGTTATAGCTAATAACATGCACATTTCATAAACAGCTGCAACACACAATTGTAGAATCACAGAATGGTTTGGGCTGCAAAATCCTTCCAAGACCATTGAGTCCAACCATCCTCCCAGCACTGCCAAGCTCATTCCCTCCAGGGATGGGGACATACAGCAAAGAGCTCCATCAAACAGGAGATTCATTTAGGCTCTCAGATTTTGGCCTGGAGCTGACACAGAAACTCAACAGAACCAGCTCTCTCTGTAGCTGCCATGTTAAGGCCATATTTCAGCACTGAAACCTCCAAAGGGGCCTGCAGGAAAACAGGCCTTGTGTCTACTCAATCCTTTCAACAAAATTCACCAAAGTGCAATGGATGTGCCTTTTAACATTTAAATTCCCTCAGCCTTGGACAGCTGGGATGCCTGGACTGCCATTACCATCACTAACCTCCAGGCACTGATATTCCCTACGGCACAGGCCTCTTCCTCCAAATAGCTCCATAAACTTTCTATCTCCAACTTCATGATTACCATTTCACTGATAGTAAGAAAGACCACCAAGGATGATGGAATTAGAAATGTAATACATACACTGTCTGTGGCTCAGTGGAAATGAGTGGAAGCTTATACGTATAAAAGTGTTTATTGCCAAGTGTAGGGTCCAAGAATGAATTTACAGACTGTGTGTGAACATGCACAAACAGAGCCCTACAGGAGACAAAAACATATGGGAAAATACTTAACATTGTCCTGTATAAATAAAATATAATTTGTAATGTTTTTCATAATATTTTACATTAAAATTGATTGCAGTTTAACAATTAAAAATGGCACAAATCCAGATATTACAATACCTGTGCAGTAAATCCATTAAGCTGCTGACATTACCCAGGGCTAATATTGACATAAATCCACCTTCTAAATTTGAGACAAAAATACTCAGTGTAAGAGGAAAGCGTGGGGTGGCAGAAAGGCTTAAAGCAGTGCCTGGTAAAGAAAATCACCTTCCATAACAATAGATGTTTTTGCATTAAAACCTCTGCCTCAAGATCTGAATGTTTCATTTGCCAGCAGGTGATTCCTGACACCCTGCTCTGAGCTGCTCATGGGCTGGACATCACTTGTCTCACAGCTTTGCATAAAAAACTCAGCTCACCAGGACAGGAGACCCAAAGCACCCTGAGAAACATTTCTCCCCTGTCTCCGTGCCCTGGGTGGGGCCCACTGACCTTGGGACCAGCTGTGCTAGTCCATGGCTAACACCAGGATGACACTCCTGGTTTTTCTGAACCTTGGAAGGAGCACTGCTCCCTCAACCAGAGAAGCAGCTGCTGGCCCAGCCTACCACAAGCCTTTCCAAAAGCTGCTCAGTCACTGTGCTTTTCCTCATTCTCTTTTCCCAATACTTAAGTGCCAGAAGCAAATCCATTTCCTATTTACACCCATATTGCTTTCACTAATGAAATCAATACAGGGCACTCAGGGAATTCACAACTGCAATAGCTGAGGTGGATAATCATGTTAAAACAATGCATTCGCTGTTCCTGAACACCCGGAGAGCTCACCTGGCAGCACAGCAACCATCAAGGAAGGCTGTGCTGAACTAGGTTTGGTCTCCAACTGAAGATGCAGTCTGTGTCAAACATTTGTTTCTTCTAAAATGTGCTGTATAAAACCAGATTAACAGATCATGCAAACAGGATGATATGCAAATCACAATTCCATGCACTATGACTGTTTTTGCTTGGTGACTTCATGCACTTACCTTGGACCTGAGTGTTTCCAAATCTGCTGCTGCTTCCATTGTTAAACTACTATTTTAGAATGACTTTCAGAAGTTTTGCTCAGAAATCCTCCTTATTCCATTGAAGGAAATACCAGCAAATCCCAACCTCCATGTCTAGCTCCTCTGTACTTCCTCTTGCTCAGATGAAATCCTCAGGAAAAGCACGGTCTCTTGGAAGGTTTCTTGTATGAATGAGGAAGAAACCTGGTGCAGGTTAAAGCAGGGTCGGTAATGCTCAGGGGATCTTAGACTGCTGCCTTGTAGGTGGCACTAGAAAGGTGCCATTGGGGAATTCAGTCAGCAGGGAGATAAACACAGTCATCATGAGACTTTAAATAAAACATGAAAACCCACAGAGAAACGCAAGAGAAAAAGGTGCATTCTGTTTGCAGTGAAATCACACTGAAATACCGCACAGCATATTCTTAACAACAGCAGATTTACCTACCTGGAGCTGGATCTTGGGCACCTAACCTAGAGACAGGACTTTATTATTATCATAATTAGCAGAGGGTGGGGAAGGGGAAGAGGAACTGGTACCACGCGTTTCTTTGAAGACATTCACCATGGTGCTGCCCACAACTGCGAACCCCTCCAATATCTGCTCTGGCGCTCTGCAGGAGGAAGAGCCAGCACTGCAAGGACTCCAGCAGCTCAGTTTAGAGAAAATGCAGGTTTTCACGTGGCACACATCAGTCTATATGTGGGTAACAAACAGCTAGCAGCTGCCCAATCACACTGCCATACTCCAAACTACTACCAGCACAAAAAATTAACCTGTCTGTCTTGGTGACAGGGGTTGAGCCCAGGACTGTGAGTCACAAGGGAAAGGATGATCTCTCACACCAATCTTTTTCCTCTGATGAAAAACAGGGCAGGAAGAAAAACTTAAAAAATATAATAAAACCAGAAAATCATTAATGCTTACGACATCTTGAATTAGAACTACTTTTAATAATTTCACCTCTACCTCATTGAAACTGTATTGCAAAAAGGCAGCATGAGAACAGAGAAACGCAAGTTATTGCTGTATTATTCCATGTTGTTGGAGCTAATATTCTATCCTTTAAAAGCTTTTAAAGCAGTTTTCAGTCAAATTTCTAATTAATTTGTTCTGTATCATAGTCTTACTGACAAAGACTACAAGACATAACAACATGCAGCCCATGAAAAGTCACCAATTAGTGTTTCTAGATCTGAAATATTTCACTACTTCCATCAAAAAAAACAGTTTATCTGCATTTGCTGCATTATTAATTTTATGCTACAACAACATTGTTAATGCAATTTCTTTATTTCGACTTTAATGAGATCAGAGGAAAGATCTGTGTACTTTTCCCTCGGGATTCTTACAAGCTGGGAAGTAATCAATCATCCACAAATGAAAATGGATTTCTTCGAGTACTGTTCGTTCTACAACTTCTCTTTTTGTCTTTGTAGACAGATTTCATCATAAATTTGCTTCCTAAACTTCAGCATGTCTTCCACATCTTTGTAGGTGAGCATCTCTTCAACAGACAAGAGTTGAAAGCCACTCAGTCTGAATGCTGACATGTGCTGCACAGAATTCAGCATCTTCAGCGATATCCTAACCGATTCACTTAAAGTTGAACAAACAGGGAAAATCCTGGCAGTCCACAGCCCCAGACCTGTGTTCTCACTGGAGAAGAGCTGGTCTGAGGCCTCTACCCTCCACAGGTCCAGGCATTCTGGTAAGCTGGCTCCAAAAAACTGGAGGGAGCCTATATCTGACAGCAACTTCACACTCTTTTTCAAGTCATCTCTTACACTGAACACCATGGTGACATACTTCACTTGGTTGTTAATTTTCACACTCACTGAACTCAGGAAGCAGTTTGAGGGTATGTCCACACTGAAATCTATGCAGGACCCACTGACAATGCTGTTCTTCCCTACCAAGACCTCAGGCCCAATCCTGGAGTACTCAATGACAGACCCAGGCCCTATCACACATCCAGGCTTGAGGATGCTCTGGATGATGCTCGACCAACCCAAGGTCTTGGCTGTGTCAGGAAAGATGCTAAAAGCCACAGGCAGCAAGTCAAGCTCAAATCTCAGTTTGCTCTCAGCAGTAAAGTGAAACAAATACTCCTGAGTAGTCCCAATGTGGTAGAACTGGGAGTTGTTGAGGACTATGACATTGAGGGCGGTTCCTTGCAGGAGGGAGTACAGCTTCTGCCGCACTGCTACCAGCCCAGAGTCCTCCCTGCTGATGTTACTCGTGTATTTGGTATGATCTGGAGTGGCTCCGGGTCCCAGGGCCTGCAGGAAGTCACCATATGCATCTATCTCACAGCGAAGAGTGCCCATCTGCTTATAGAACATCAGCAACTGCTTTGCAGTGCTGTGGTCCATGTAGAACACGCTGTCTGTGTACACACACTCTGAGGCCGCTGCCGAGTTGCTATGGTCCCCGGAGGAGCTGAGCTGAGGGTGATCCCCCCTCACACACACCGCGCCGTGCTGCCGCATTGTCTCCACGTCAGGCTTGTGCAGGAAATGATGGCAAGAGGCATATTCCAGCCCTCCTTTCCCTGAGAAACTGGTTGGATCCAGCACAAACACCCCATGCGTGGTCCCAACCACCAGGTCTGAGGGGTGAGCCAGCGCAGTGAACCCAGGTTTGTCAAACACAATGGGCTCCGCGACTCCAGTGCTGTACAGCTCTATATCATCCGAACACGTGACGAGGATCCCTGGTTTCATGTGCCGGGGGAAGTCGATGTACATGGCCAGCTTCAGCTCCAGCATCTGGAATGCAGGATCACCCAGCGGCAGGGCCATGAAGATCTTCCCAAGGGCACTTGCACTGGGCAAACGCTGGCTGTAACCCCCTGGGAGAAACCAACAGCTTAGTCATACACTGTATTTAGTAAGCAAAAAACTAAACTTTTGCAGCTATTTCACAGGTACACAAAGGTATTAGAAACCACTCAGCTTGGTCATATGCCAAGCATTCCTTAAGGAATGACAGATGTGAAAAAAATCATCATCATTCTTCTTCACACATTTCCCAAACAAATCTGACCTTATGTCCAAAATCCAGCCTGCATCAAACAGCTCATGTTAAAGTTGTGGTTGATGTCGTTACCTTTAGAGTAGTCAAATAAGCAGAAGTTTGTTTAGGAGACTCATTATTATCTAGTTTATTTCTCATCTGCAGAACATATATTCCTCTACTTCTGGAAATGTCCTGACCAAGTAGACAAGAAGCAAGTATTCAGCCTGCCCAGAGTTATGAGGAGCCCAAGGTCCCTCAAATGATCAGACATGCTGGGGTTACTTTTTTGAGGGAACTGTATTTTGGAACTCTGACTCCTCCTAAAAACGGCCTAACTTTTAGAGTGAGAAACATAAAACCGATTTACCAGAATGAATTAGCAGCACAGTGAAAGAAGTCCACTGATCACCATACAGATCTTCCAAGCACTTAAGAACATGAAGAGTTGATCCACCATTTCCTAAAGAAAAAGTATGTTAGTATGTGAGGGAAGAGCTCCAACAACATCAGCTCTGACACGTGAGGTGCCCTGGTGCTCAGCTCAGACCCCCCCAAAGCAGCACTGACAGGACAGTCTTTCTACTGTATCATGGCTGGGATACGAGGAAATGGTTTAGGATGTTTTATGTGCTCCTACAACTTAAAACTGCAAGATTTCTGAGAATTAATCTCTGCCTATTGCTCTGCACTGCAAATACTGAGAGTAGTTACTTTGTAGATCAAAGTGAACAGAACTTGAGAATTACAGGATGATATTATGGGCAGTCAAAGTTGTTTCTCCTAGGGTTTTGCTGCCCATGGGATAATATATTTAAACACAATCCAACTGTTTAAGCAATCAGGTTAAGGCAAATTGTATGAATTTCTGAAACACATGAATGCTATTCTGTATCCATACGACACACTCTGAGGAGCTGTACACTATCACCAACACGTGCTTGTGCACCAGCACCACGATGGAGGCACGAGTGGGCTCTTGCCGCTGCCCCTCCTGCCCGTTCCAGTTGCACCGAACCCCAAGAGATCCCCGAGCTCACCAGGACCCCCGAACCCAAGACCTGCCCCGCAGGGAGCCCCTCGCCTCCCTCCGCGGCCCCACGCACCGATCTTGGCCCCGGGCGGGTCGGCGCACACGTGGTACCGCACGCCCCGCGGCAGC